CCGAGATTGTGCCACTGCACTCCAGCCTGGGCGAGAGTGAGACTCCATCTCAAAAAAAAAAAAAAAAAAAAAAAAAAAATACTGTGTTAAATGAATGAATAAATGTATTGAAGCAAGAAGACCTTGTAAATTTTCCAACAGCTCTGTAGCAAAGTAATGCAGCTCTGAATTGATACGGCAGTGCTAAGAATGGAAAGGTGGTCATTCATTAGTAAATAATCATGGAAACACAATCTATAAGACATAATCAAAGAGTGTCACTGAAGAAAGGCAGCACTGAGAGGAGTGAAATTTGCAGATACCAGGATGAAATCACTTTTGTCAGAACCAAACAAAATAGGGCCAGAAAGGCACAAAGGAAGGGGCTCATGTTTGTATGTCTGAGATAAGAACTGTTCCTGAAGACTTTCTAAAAGCTCCACAAGAGATCAGTTCGCATCCTTCACACATGTCCACCTTTGCACAGTCAGCAGGTTTCAGACATATACATATGTTTCTATGACAAAGCTTATCATTCTTTAGGACTGCAGTAATTTAGATAAGATGCTCTTAAAAGAACACTTGCCCAGTAACAGCATCTCCACTAATGAAATGATGACAACTCTGGCTCTGAGCCTCTGGAACCAATGAACTCTGTTCATTGAACAGAACTCTTGCTTCTGTTTCCAAGCAGCTTTATTTGAACTTGCCCTTTTTGCCAATAAAAGCTTCCTTTTACCCTTCCCTCACTGGACATACTTTTGGCTTGCCATTTCATGCATCCTGAATTCTAATATTCTCTTCCCATTCCTGAATAAATTCAACATATTTGGAGACATTTTTCTCCAGTCTTTTTTTTCCTTGACATTGAAAGAGGTCTGATGCTTAGGTTCATATTTGTTAACTATTTAGCTGTACTGAGTCTTAGATGATGTTTACCACTAAAAAAAAAAAAAAAACAACTAACTCCAACATCTGGATCCAATGTGCTAGGGCAAGCAAGTCTACATTGTCCATAGCTTGTGACCTAGTTCTTTAAGAATCTGATGTGGGCGGGGCATGGTGGCTCATACCTGTAATCCGAGTGCTTTGGGAGGCTGAGGCAGGAGGACACCTTGAGGCCAGGAGGTCAAGACCAGACTAGGCAACATAGCAAGAACCCCCATCTCTAGCAAAAAGTGAAAAAAAAAAAAAGAAAAGAAAAGAAAACCACACACATCTGGCCATGGTGGCACGCACCTGTAGTCTCAGCTACTCAGGAGGCTAGGGCAGGAGGATGGCTTGAGCCCAGAAGTTTGAGGTTGCAGTGAGTTATGAATGTTGCCACTGTACTCCAGCCTGGGTGAAACCCTGTCTCCAAAACTAAACTAAAAAAAAAAATTCTGATGTGACTGTGATTTTACTAGCTCAAATCTAGTGAGCTACAATGTGAGCAAAGTTCACTATGACTACAAATGAAAAGTTAAAGAAATCCATTATCACCAGGGCACGGTGGCTCACACCTGTAATCCCAGCACTTTGGGAAGCCGAGGAGGGTGGATCACCAGAGGTCAGGAGTTCGAGACCAGTCTGGCCAACATGGTGAAACCCCATCTCTACTAAAAACACAAAAATTAACCAGGCGTGGTGACGGGCACATGTAGTCCCAGCTACTCAGGAGGATGAGGCAGGAGAATCGCTTGAGCCCGGGAG